TAGCGCTGGAGACTTCCTGGGGCAGTCTGGGGACCTCCTGGGACCGTCGTGGAGCCCTGTTGAAACTTCTTCGCAGCCCCGGGAGTCTCCTGGGGGAGCTCGGAGGGAGGAGGGGAACCGCACCTTACGAATTGTTGCCCACCCACGCTGCAGAGGTAATGGAGTCATCGATGGTCCCCGCTTCAAAACAAAATGTCGAGTGAACAGCGAAAAGCCCACGCTATGCGAAGGACTGTGCGAAGGTGCACGGTTGCCCGTCTTGTCAACGCGTCGCCTCTGGCCTGGCTGGGCCAATGCATCTGCAACCAGGGAGGGTGCGGCGCTTGTAGCGGTCTGTTCACCGATAGACATCATGAGCATGATCGAAACCGTGAGCATAGCACGGCTGAAGATCATGAGCAGAATTGATAGGGTCAATGCCCGCAGTGGACGCGGCAGGGCCTTCACAGCTCCTGTGCCGTCCATGTCATCCCCCTTCTTCATCACACTCTTCTTAGCATTACATCCAACCCTTTCTAAGAGCTTCTTTACCCTCTTCGTCTCCTCCCGCAGCCGACCAGTCGCTCGCGGACCACCAGACGCGGCTGGCACAGCTGGGCAGACCCTCGCCGCCGGAATCCGGCCAGACCGGGCACCACAACAGGCCGTCCCTCCACCCCTCCCCATCTGGAGGGCCACATGCGAACCCTACCCCTACCCCCCCCACGATTTCAGAGGGGGGGGGGGCTCACTTCGCTCGGGAGCTCCCGAACGAAGTGAACCCCACCCTCCCCCTCAGAAATCGTGGGGGGTAGGGGTAGGGTTCGCATGTGGCCCCCTACCATCCCCTCCGCCGATCCCCGCTCCTCCCACCTCCCTCCCGCACGAAACCTGCTCGGGGTCGCCGCACAGAGCTCGTGAGAGCGCAGAGCAACTTGCACGTGCTGCGCGCCCTCCGCGGCCCGCGCGCGCGCCAGTGACCGCGTTCAAACAGGGGCCGGCGGCAGCGGACTGCGGACATGTCAATGTGCTGGTCGCCCCGGGCCCAACCCGCGGCTACGGGTCTTCCTGCTGCCGCTGCTGCCCTTCTTCCTTCTCCTGCTTGTCACACTTCCACCTAAAGAACTCGAAGGTCCGCGCGGATTTCTCGGATCGGCGCTGGACCCCCCCTCCCTGGCGCGCGGAGCGCGCCAGGGGCGGCGCCAGGGGGCCCCAGCGCCGATCCGAGAAATCCGCGCGGACCTCCGAAAGGTTATGTTCATGTCAGTTTTCGTTCCCCTATCCTCGGACGTGGCAGAGCCCCCGCCGGGCCCGGCTCTGGACCGCTCCTCTTGCGACTGCCGGCGCCCCCAGGGTGAGGCCAGACCCGCACGGCGTCATTTAGACGACTGGCGGACCTGCAAGGCTAAAGGAGAGGCAGCAGGCGCCGCGCACGCCAGCTGCGCCACCCGGCCCGCAGCGCGCAGCCTCCCGCAGAGGGAGGAGCACTCGCGCGTCTGTGCTGTCACAGAACGCTCCAACAGACAACGCACATAGTGGACCAAGCCCGCGACCAGCGCAGATTGAAACAAGCAGCGCGCAGCAGCGCCGCATAGCGACTCGCGCTGTGAGCCAGAGGTGATATGACAGAGTCTGCCAAAAGTCTACCCCGGCCACGACGCCTCACCATCCTTGCGCCAGCGCCGAGTCGCATTCTGCGCCAGCGGTGCCTACAAGTGCACGGGCACGCCGAGCAGCATGGCGTCCCGCAAGCTCTGGAGCAGCCCGCCGTCGTCGTCGGCGGTGCCCGCCGAGGCCACGGACGTGCGCGGACTGGCCGTGGGCGTCTCGCCCTCCTCGCCGGAGCCGTCGTCGTCGTGGCAGAGGCCGGGCGGCCCCCACAGCCGCACCCCACCGATCGGGCGGGCGGGGCCGAGGTGGGCAAGGCGCGCCTGCGACTTCTCCAGCGCGCCCAGAGGGCTCGCCAGGGGATCCGCGGCGCCGAAGCCCAGGATGTCAGGCTCGGCGGGCGGCATCGGAAGGTCCACCTTGATGGGGTGCAGGCACGCGGGCGTGAACGGGGCGGAACTCGCGCTGAGCCTGGTGCGACTTGGCGGAGTGCTCGGCGGGGAAACCGATCCTGGCCGAAGCTCCTGCACGCCGTGGGCGAACCTGCAGCGTTTCCTCTTGCACCGTCCAAGTTGGAAGGCCTTGCACATGTGCATGTTGGTGAAGTCGGGGGCCGGCACGAGCTCCGACTCAGCGTGGGCAAAGTCGCACTCACGGCCGTATTTGCACTGGCCCCTAAGGAAGTACGAGCACAGCCGGGGTCTGCGCAACCGCGCCACGAGGGGGGCTGGCTCCCTCGCGCCCTCGCCGCTGAGCGCCAGGCCGCAGGCCATGGATGCTGTGAGAACGGATGCTGTATGGACACTGTGAGAAATGCAGGACGTTGGGACGAAGTGCCAGCGATGTGCTTGCTTGGCCAGGCCCTGCAGTCGGCCAAGCGCGGGTGGAGCCCGAACGGCTTGAGTCGAATTGGCTGCGGACGGAGGGAGAAGGGGGAGGATGAGGAGGACGAGGAGGAGGAGGAGGCGAAGGAGGAGGAGGACGACGACGAGGAAGGGGAGGAGGAGGAGGAGGAGGAGGAGGAGGAGGAGGAGGAGGAGGAGGAGGAGGAGGAGGAGGAGGAGGAGGAGGAGGAGGAGAGGAGGGAGGAGGAGCAGGAGGAGGAATGGGAGGAGGAGGAGGGAGTGGGGAGGAGGAAGACGAGGAAGGAGCAGGAAGTAGGAGGAGGAGGAAGGATAGTCCCACCAGCCCTTTGGGCGACAGGTGGTCTAATGGTGATCTCTTTTCTCTTCCACAACCCCTATTCACTTCGGGGAAGGGAGCCCTACCCCTCCCCATGCTTGGGGTTTTTTGGGAGGGGGGCCGATGTGTCAGAGGGTCCTTTTCCGGCGAGTGGGAGGGCAAATGTTTGACACCCCTTCCGAGGATCGTGGCCCCCGAGGGCAGGAGCAGACATCGAGCCCCCCCCCCTCTTTTGACCGACCGCCTTCACGATGGCACCAAGATGCCCTCCAGGGCTCCCAAGAGGCCCCCAAGAGAGCTCCAAGAGCGCCCAAGGAAGCCCCAAGAGGCCTCCAAGGGGCACCCGAGAGGCACCCAAGAGGCCCCCGAGCGGCCTCAGAGAGTCCAAGATGACCTCCAAGATGGCTCAAGATAGCCCTAGCTGTTTCAAGATGGCTCCCAAGATGCTCCAAGAGGCCCCAAGACCGCTCTAAGACGGCTCGAGATGGCCACGGAGCCTTCCCAGGCCCCAGCACGCCGTCCAGGCCGGCCTCCCTCGCGGTTTGACGATGCGTGTCTCTTCCTCTCTCCTCCCGTCAGCTATCATGGGCATCGTTTCTGGATGAGATGGGGATACGCGAAGAGTCAAGAATTGAGGAAATGAAAAGGGGAATTACTCCGACGGTGGGACCCAACATGAGAATCCTCTCGGCTAGTCTGGAAATAACCCTCATCGTCGTCCTCGTGGTGTTGAGGCGTCCTTACTGTCTCCTCTATACTGATATTTCTCCCATAATCAAGCTTCTGGAGTCCAAACATGACGACAGTTACAGCTTTCCGATGACACGCCTCGGATTCAAACATGAAGTGCGACCCCCTAGGGAGGGGGCTCCCGCCTGAGACTTCCTCGCAATTCACTCACAGACGAGGATCTCACCTGATACTTCCCCCCCCCAACAGTGACGACAGCTGCAGGAGGCCGATGACCCGTTCGGATTACTCACATGAGCGACGGGCCCTGTAGGGAGGGGGCTCCCGCCTCAGACTTCCTCGTAATTCACTCGCAGACGAGGCTCCCGCCTGATACTTCCTCCATATGCAAGCCTCAGGGGCCCAAAAGTGACGACTGTTGCAGGAGGCCGATGACCCGCTCAGATTACTCATATGAGCTGCGGGCCCTGTAGGGAGGGGGCTCCCGCCTAAGACTTCCTCGCAATTCACTCACAGACGAGGCTCCCGCCTGATACGTCCTCACAATAAATGTGTGCGCGTGTGAGTGATGATGATGATGATGATGATGATGATGATGATGATGATGATGATGATGATGATGATGATGATGATGATGATGATGATGATGATGATGGTGATGACGATGATGATGATGATGATGATGATGATGATGATGATGATGATGATGATGTGAGTGATGATGGCGATGTGCGTAATGATGATGATGCTTGTAGCGTGAGTGATGATGATGGTGATGATGATGATGTTGATGAGGATGATGATGCTGATGGTGGTGGTGGTGACGATGTGCGTGAAGATGGTGATGAGGGTGGGGGTGATGGTGGTGTGTGATTGAGCGTGTGCTGATGATGATGATGATGATGATGATGATGATGATGATGATGATGATGATGATGATGATGATGATATTGGTGTTATGATGGTGATGGTGTATGTGACTCATTGAGTGATTGAGTGTGCGAAGGGCGAAGAGCTCATAAGGTCTGTATCGAATCATAGAGTGAGTGAGTGAAGACGATGATACGATGATGATGCTGACGATGATCTGTGTGAGTGAGTGGTTGGTAGGTGGTGAGTGCGTGTGTGGGTAAAGGAACGATAATGCTGAGTGAATGTGAGTGTGTGAGCGAGTGAGGGAGTGTGTAAGTGATGATGATGTGGTGGTGATGATGATGTGAGTGTGTGCGTGTGTGAGTGAGTGAGTGTGCCTGTGATGAGTGAGTGCATGAGAAGAGAAGGGGAATTCCTGTGTTCCTGCGCGGGGTGTTCAGAGAAAACAAGAAGCCCACTTTGGATATGGGGAATGAGAATGGCAGGAAAGAGGCGGAGGAGGGTGGAGGGAGGACAAAGCAGCAGGAAATGAAGGAGAGCAAGAGAGTGAAAGAGGAAGGGAACAGGGAGGAGGAAGCAGGGGAGAGGAGGGAGGGGTGGGGGAGGGAAAGGGAGGAGGAGGAGGAGAAAGAGGGTGAGGAGGAGTGTCGGGGAGAGAGCAGTTGTATCCTGAGTGTTAGCATACCTTCTGGAATGGAGGTGTCTTCGACTTCAGGCGTGCAAGATGCATCTTGCAGTCTCAAAGGAGACCGCTCGGGGGCCTCATGCGGGCCATTTGGGCGTCTACTGGGGGCCTCTTGCGGGCGTCTCGGGAGACTGTGGAGACCTCTCGTGGACGGCCGGGATGCTCTGGGGGCCACCGTGGCGCCGACGACGACCGAAGGACCGCTCGGTGCGCGCTTGGGGGCCTCTTTTGGGCCTCGGGCCCGCTCGGAGCATCTCTGAGCCGTCGCGGGGGCCTCTGCGGCCGTCCGGGGGCCATGCTGGATCTCGGGAGGCCCTCTTGGGAGCCCCGTCGGCGGCCTTGGGACGCTCTTGGGGGCCGCTCGGGATCGCCTGGGGCGCTGGTGGGTCAAACACATGGTTCTGCCAAGCATTGGCGTATTCTTCCCCATATCCTGAGGATGGCGTTCTTGTTATTGCCTAGACCGCGCGGAACGCGAGAAAACCTCCAACCCTCAACACCTCCCACCCTCAGGTCACCATTCTCTGCCTCGCTCACACGTAGACTCACTCGCATTCAGACTCACTCATACTCAGATACACTCGCTCTTAGATTCTTGATGCTCAGGTTTCTCATGCTCGGGATCACTGATATGCAGACTCACTCACGTTCCTGCCCGATCTTCCTCGAGATCCGCAGAGCCCAGAGACACGAGAAACGCAACGAGCTCTCCCCAAGAAGACTCCACCTGAAAAAGACCAGAAACTTCTCTCATCATCACATCGCGCGCACTCGTCGTTGGATGATCCTCGAACAATCTCTCCTCTTGAACCGTAGCGGCGCGGTTCTCGATCAGGCCATGGCTCCCCATGGCATCAACCCTCCAAGCGCGCCTCTCGCACGCACAGCTGCACTGACTTACTGGCGGCCATGATGCCGCGAAAATTCACGCGAATCTGAATGGATAACGCAGCCCCCCTCCTCACAAAGCATCGCCCGCGCGCTCTCCAGCCGAATGGGCCCAAACTGCTCTGCCGGATCGAACGGATCTCGGCGCATCACGCAGTCGAGAAGAGTCGCCCCATTGCGAACTGCATGCTCAAAGAGCGGTTCATTGCGCGCCGCCCGTGCACGACCTCGGCCTCGACGTCGCGCGCGCGAGCGCCAAGCCGCACGAAGCTCAGCGCATCTGGAAGGAAACCCTCTTACTCCCGGCCAGCGCGCGAGGCCAGCTTGAGTCGGGCGCGGCCCCCCCGACTTCATGGGCCCTCGCTGCGGGCATCGGGGATCTTCTGACCCGGGTCAATCCAGACCCGGGTCAGCAGGAAACCAAAAACTGCAATGCAGGAAACAAACTGCAACACAGGTCTTCGCAAACCCAGGTCAGCCAACATGTGCGGCCGCCTCGCGGCCACGAGCGGCTCGCCAACCCGGGTCAGCCAGGGGGGGCTTCCGCCGGAACCTGCAGGACCTGGCGCCCTGGCTGACCCCCGTCTGCATTGACCCCCGCCTCTTGGCTCCCGACGGGCAGCCCTGCTGGGTCGCTCCGGCGACCCTGCACTGCCGCCACGCAGTCGGCGAGAAGTGACTGGGGGCCCGCAGACGCGGCAGGCGAGGCGCGCGGTGCTGGCGGGCCGACGACCGCGGCGCGACCGAGGGAGGCAGCCAACTGATGAGGCGCCCGCTGCGGTGCCGAAAGACGTCGAGGGCAGGGCGGAAAGACATCGAGGGGCGGGGGGCGCAGCGTCAGAGCAGAGGAGGAGGAGGAGGAGGAGGAGGAGGAGGAGGAGGAGGAGGAGGAGGAGGAGGAGGAGGAGGAGGAGGAGGAGGAGGAGGGGGCGGGCCGAGGGCGGCAAAATGACGCGCGGACATAGAATGGGGAGGTGCGCCGTGCAGACCACGGGCCGACGGGCTGCGGACGGCGCGCGGCGCGGGCCGCCGGCCTGCTGGACAGCGGGCGCGCGAGACCGGGCAGGCTGGCGCCCAGGGCGGGAGCGCCGCCTCGTGCTGCTGCCCAAATTGCTCCTCTGACCCAGACCCCCTCGGGCAAGGAAGAACTCATGACGGGAGAGTGTTGCTTTTTTTTTCGGCCTGGGGAGCTGGGGAAGCCCTTCCCGGGCCTCGGGACCGTCAGAAAACGAACGGCTCGGGATGAAAAGCCGGTCCCGAGGAATGGGTCGAGACACCTGAGGGTCGACGTTGGGGGGGGGAACAAAAAAAAAAAAAACAAAAAAAAAAAAAAAAAAAAAAAAAAAAACGACGTCGGGGGTCTGGGGAGGCGGTCGCTCTCCGCCCGCGCCAGCGCCCGGGCCGGCAGGCCCAGCTCCACTGCCCCTGGACGTCTGCTAGACGCGCCGAGCCTGGCGGGCCCGACCCTGGTCAGTCTGCGACCTGCCGGCTACAGCCCAGGCCCGGACGCCATGGTCGCGGTGCCCCAATGAAGGGGCCCAAGGATACACAAATAAATACACACAAATAAAATAATCCCCCATAGTTTCCCATAT